GGGCACGGAGAAGTTTCAGCGCACAATGGGCGTATTTGCATACATGCGTGAACTGCTCGCTAGTCACAGTAATGTGCAGCTGTACGCGCGATCATCCAAGTTGGAACGATTGCAACGGTTATCGTTGGAAGACCTGCCTGGCCTCCAAGTATTGCAGGCGTCATCCTCCGGTGCGGCTACCCAGGTGACGGCAGGCAATGGTACTGGTACCGGCAGGAATTCCCCGGAAACGGACGTCAGCGAAAGGATCACCTTGGTGTCGCCAGGGGCTGGTGTTTCGCAGGTTCCTTGCAACGACCGCAGACGGCGGAAACGGAAGGCACCAATGTTAGCCCGTGCGGTAGAGGTGGTGGATTTCACCATGATCTCACGGGATTTGCAATTTCGTACCCTGTAAAGGAGAACATCCACGTGTTACCGCACATACACATGGCTTGCAAAGAGGGGCACTGCTGCCGAAGAAGCGGACAACGCTGTTTGTGCTTTGTGTGAGCAAGAAGAGGACGCCTGTGGGAGCTTGGAGCATGTCGATTGGATAAGTTGCGATGTATGCTGTAGATGGTTGCATCAAACATGCGCAGCATACCATGGGGAGTAGGCATACACATGTGCGCACTGCTGCGGGTAAATAAATAAATAAATAAATATTTTATTCTCGACAAAGCGAGACACGTCTTTTGGGCATGATCAGCATATTGCATTAATGTACATGATAGCAGGTTAAGCAGCACCAGCAGTGGGAGTAGTACAGTTGGAGACAGTAGCGTGGGCCCATAGAGCCCACAGGTTGTAGGTAGTCTATGTACACAGAATGCGAGAGGTAAAGATAGTATTCAGATCACTTATATGGTATGTTGATGAGGAACTAGTCCGATGAGGTCCCGTAAGCAATGTAGGTCAGTGAGTGAAGTATGAGGAAACGGGTGAAAAATACTTAAGAATATTGGCATGTCACTAATCAGATATGTAGGCGTGTTCGTGCGAGAGCCGATATATGCACAGAACTTGTAAATGTGGTGTCGGTCAACTTGCCAATGTGATAGGGGCGGTGACTTTATTGAGTGTCTAGTCACATCCGCCACGTCGCAGTGTTGTTAAACAGACATTTGTGGCTTTTTGTAGGGAAAACGCTTGCTCGTATGTAACGTTACTTTTCTTTAGGGATGCAAACGAGCACAAGGTCAATATTGCATAATAAACTTCTCCAAATAAAAAACCCTTACAATCGGTAAGTACGCAAGGCATTGCTTTTCTTCCGGAACTCCACACTTCCTTGCCTATTTTACGACCATTGAAACTGAAACATCCATATTATTCATAGTCCGTTGTCGCTTCCAATTACACCGCTGCGCGGTTTGGTTGCAATCGCTGACATGGGGAACAGTTCGTTGCTGGACCAATGAAAGGCCAAGCAATGTGATAGCCGGGGAGAGTGGTTTGTTAGCGCTATATTCGCGGGGCTTGCTCGTCATGGAATAAGTGAATAAGTGAAGAGTCAGGGAAGGGGACTTACCTGAGAACCTTTATGCCTTAAGCAAACAGTCATGGACAACACGCGAACACCGAGTGCAGTCCTCATACGGTCACAAACAGGTGGCTGACGTTCTTACCTTAGGCGGCGTCGGGGAGACAAGGCGAAGCACAAGGGGAGTCACGTGGACTCCAGCCCGGATTACGATAAGAACCAACGGCACCCAGTTTGGTGATCAGTGACTTCATTTCTCGCTGGCCCGTGAACTGCTGTCAACCCCAAAGCTTGCGCCAGGACCAGGATACTGACTTCGGCTGAACTCTCTCTCGTCCCACAGTCCATAGGAAGTATGCAAACTCCGCTATTTGCTTTCTGCGGACTACAAGCTCAAGGGTTCAGTGGGTGGTTCGGTAATCTTCGGACAACATATGGTGGAATTCATACATTAAGACGTGTGACGCAACCCTGCGACCTATGCGAACCACATGCTCCTCCAATAAGAGCGTGATAAATTCATCTTTTGCAGACATTTTCAACCACTAATATACCGATGTACCCGTCCATTATTCGTAAACCCTGTTTCTGTAGTGCACTCACGCTTAGCAATGTTCATCTGGATGGGCCCTCCTTTCTTACGGTAACCATATTTGATGAACCACTTTTCAGTATTCTCGCTTGGTGGGTTGAGCGTTCGCAACGCTCCTCACTCACACGAGAATGTTTACATATGGTTTGGGCGTCCCGGCCTCTCACCTGTTTTATAATCAAACACCACCTTAACAAGGGATTGCGTACCTCAGTACAACGTAGCTAGCACATCCGTCAGCATTATGCGGACAATAACTTGCGCCCAACATTAACATCCCATTATTGATGTTGTGGTACTCCACTACGCAAGCCCCCTAATTGTAGACATATATGTCATTAACGTTAACCCCACTGCCTTCTGTTCACCTTAATGCACGCAGAGACTTAGGTATTAGTTAGGTTTGCGGGAAGGTTTACAGAATTACATTTCCCTTACATCACAGCATACCATTGTTTAAGTCCGTCACCCTTACCGACGCCATATTCTTTACACCATTGACACGGTTTCCAGAAACCATTTTCCCGCATAACACCTCTTAACCTCAAAAAGCAGCGATTATGTACTTGCACGCTTGCATACCATCAAATTATGTGAACTCATTTTCCCTTGCGTGATTAAAAGCTTTCGCATTTATCAAAGGTAATGGGAACCGTCTGCTTACACATATAACCAACCTGCGCAGTCCAAACTCATATATATATATATAGATATATATATATATATCCTTCCTCCGCGTCCTCAAATTTGTATCACATAAGCCATTGTAATGAAGGATAACTTCCTTCCTAAGCAACATACAAACCCGGGTATGTATTCCATCTACCATTTAACAGGTATCATGCATACAGCATGCGTCAGTATAGAGACTTATACAGAAACATAATTTAATGTTAACATTTGTTACTTATGATCTTACCAATCTCCTATACCATATTCAATAACATATTGATGCTTACATACATAGGCATTTTAGTGCAACATAAATATCACTATACATTTCCATTTACGTTCATATATATATATATATATATATTATACATTGTTGCAAAGCCTGCGGGATGACTACTCTGTCTAAGAACATGATGCAATCGTCCACAATGGAAAGCGAATGTCTTCATTGATAGAACTGCTCCATTTTGGTAGATGAACATGAACGTGGCCATCTGGTTCTGTGGAAGTGTGTCACCTTCTTCAGGATTGGGTCTCGAAGCGTTTCGGCCCGCACAGCATCGGCCGTAACTGGCATATCATGTAGCGCCTCGTTCACCAGGAATTTGACATCAGGTTCGATCTCAAATGAGACGATGATGGTGTCCTCGTGTTCCTGCTGCTGGGAATCAATGAGGCGTGACAACGCATCTGCTTGGCCCAGCGAATTCGTTGACTGATAAAGGAATTCAAAATCATAGCCCAGCAATGTAAGTGCCCATCGTTGGAGTCGATTGGCTGTATAGGCAGGAATTCCCTTCTTCGAGCCGAAAATGGCCAGCAGCGGCTTATGCTCCGTCAAGAGCTTGAGGCGGCGACCATACAGCATCTTGTGAAATTTCTTCACAGCAAACACTATGGCCAACGCCTCCTTCTCGATCTGACTATGGTTTCTTTCAGCTTTCGTTAGCGTCCTGGCGGCATGTGCGATCGCCTTCTGCCCAGCTTTCAATCACCATTATATACGTTCCCTTTTTTCTTTATGTTTTTTTCTGATTCAAGGATATATATATATATCATTCCTCCGCGTCCGCAAATTTGTATCACATAAGCCATTGCAATGAAGGATAACTTCCTTCCAATGCGATAAACAAATCCGGGTATATATTCCACCTACCATTTAACAGGTATCATGCATACAGCATGCGTCAATATAGAGACTTATACAGAAACATAATTTAAAGTTAACATTTGTTATTTATGACCTTATCAATCTCCTATACCATATTCAATAACATATTGATGCTTACATACATAGGCATTTTAGTGCAACATACATATCACTATACATTTCCATTTACGTTCATATATATATATATATATATATTATACATACGTATATATGTGTCCGTAGAACATATATATGTATATATTACGCCTATACATAGCAGTGTCTATAGCTTAACGAGGTTTGTATGGGATATGGGTTATATCATGTCGGAAATACGTATGTTAATTATTGGTTCCCTTTAAGCTTATCTACTCCTGCATGGTTTCAGCATACCATATGTGAACTGCGATATCGAGGAGATTTCCGATTTGTTATGTTTCCAAAGATAAACCTTATGTTTCCTTACAAACATATTTATATATACATATATATACGTATAGAAAGGTACGTATGCGTATATATATATATATGTGTCGCTTTCCACCGCACTTCCCATGCTTACACACACTCCATTATCTATCCATTAGCAAGGATTCTGGTCATCATGTCGATTATACGGTTAACAAAGCCATATGTAAGCTTCACTAAATATCAATCCTTACTTAAATAAGCCACCTGCAAAACGCGGATTCTCCTATATCTTGGGCAATTTTCCATACGTTCTCCCACTTCCTTCTTTTTTCCGATACGTACCTCGGACTTGCATAAACCATTGTTTATATTCCGTTTCCTTTTTAACAACTTACATACTTTTTATTTCAACTTTTCTACTTTTATTCAACTTTGCAATTAGGCATGGTACAGATCAGTTTTTGGATGTTTGGAGGTACTGACCTCTTTACAAACACGTTGCGCAAGAAGTTTACCCAATAAAACCCTTACTTTTGAGAGTGCAGAAATTGGTTGTCTTGATGTACGACAGCACGCATTCAAAATCCTGCCAATGGCGGATAGGACTGTCCCTATTCCTCCAGATCAGACGCCGCATATCCTGGATCTCATGCTCTCCCCAGCACAATTGTTCAAGGTCGCGGCGCGTTTGTCCTGTTTCACCGTTCCAGGTTTTCTTTACTGAAATCCTTGTTTGAGAACAGCAGTTAAATAACACTACATAGAAAATTTGGCTTTGTCAATTTTCTTGTGCTCCGAAAATACTTAGAATTGCCAACAAACTCGGAATTTCTTGTGTGCCTTCCTTCGTCACGGCGAGGTAGCCGTGTTACACCGCCTGAGTTTTCCTTCTCGGAAGCCTTTTGTGGAACCAGTGTTGAATGACACTGATCAAAAGCTTGATCTTGTGTTTCTTGCGGTTCAACCGGGCTTGTAAAAGCTCCTTCGTTCCTTCAGTCTCGCCCAGCACCAACGGCGAACTTTCCTGGGAGTAAACTTGGTCTTTGTTCCGTTGTTGTCAGCGCGTCACTGTGTCATTACCTGCCTCTTGACCACTGGACGCTATCCAGCTACCTCTCGCTTCTTGTGCGCTCTTTTCCATTCGTCAAAGGCGGATTTTACTTGATTCAATTCTTGGTCGAACTGATCAGTGGATCTTCAGGTATCCGTGTGTCAGTCTCTGCTCACTCACAAAGGTCCTGTTGGTAAGTCCTCAGAGTCCACTTCGGCTTTGTGACTTGGTGCGTCCACTTCAATACACTCGTGTCACACATGGTCTTTCCGACTGGTGCTCTCGTCGCTTGCATAAGTTGTCACCGTAATCCGGTACACATCTTTGCTTCTGATTTATTACATTCAATTCTTTCTCTGAACCCTCATCGTCACGTTGGTTGTCATGCGCTGCCCAAACTCGCCGTGTCCGCCTTCTGACGACTCTGTGGTCATGTGTGGTAAAGAGGGTTGTAAAGAAGCGGTTACAGATTCGTCCGGGGGCATGCAGTGCGATACCTGTAACCGTTGGTTCCATAAGGCCTGTACTGGCTTGGATCGTAGACAGTATGCTCTTCTGTCCGGTAGCGAGAGTTTACTCTACCGTTACAATGATTGTCGCATGCCCAGGACTGAGCGTTACACGCCAGTAAAGAGCAGTCCTGTTTCCCTGGAAAGTTTGCTGTCTCTGATTATCTTGCTTGAATGGATTGTGGAGGGCCCAGAAAGCTCAGGTCTTCTATGTCAGGAGACAGTAGAAGACACTGGCAAGCTGTCAGATCCTGAATCTGTTTGTTCACTCTCGAATGTCAGTTTACCTGTTAGCAAAGACCTTGTTAGTAACGAACCCACAGACAGCGTGCTTGATTCGGCTGTTAGCGAAGGAGAGCATCAGGTTTTTGCCTTTGTCAACTGAAGACGAAAGAGGGTTAAAAAAGCGACAAAACCCAAGGCGGACATGAGAGGTCCGTCGGGCGCCCATTCCCCCCCCCCTCGAATTCTACTACGACGGAATTGTTGCAACTGGAAACAGTACGACAATAGAGTCTATAAAAACGGACACAAAACTGAAACCACCGACGTCCATGGAGAGTTCGGTAAACACTCCGCTTCGCGGAGAGTCGTATACAGACTGCAGTGTTATTTTCAGAAACGCCACTGAGTCTTCTGCTGCTCTCCCAAAAGACCGTATGCTAGATGACCTTAAGTGGTTTAGAGTATGCATTACCAAACTCCTGCCTCCCGGCTTCCCCGGCATGACTGTGCGCAAACTAACCAGACTCGGTAAATTGCCAGCCGACAAGTCTCGCCCTTGCTTGTTGCGAGTTGTTCTGTCCACTCCCGAGGAGCGCCAAGCACTTCTGCCTTTCGCCTTTAAGCTCAAGAACACTGGTGTCACTGTACACCCAGACCTCCCTTTGGCGGATAGGCTGAAATTGCGGGAAGCTGTGAAGGATCTTAAAGCCCGCCGTGAAGCAGGAGAAAAGAGTCTCTGCCTGGTGGGTTTTCGGGTGGTGAGCCGGCGGTCCACTTCCACCCTACCAGAGCCGGTTCCGGTGGCGCACGATCCCGGACTCACAATGTTAAATCCCTTCAGGTGATCTTAAGCAATGTGCGTAGCCTGCGAAACAAGCTGTGCGAAGTCGGCGCTCTTGTCGACGACTGCCGTCCAGATGTATTCGCATTCACTGAAACATGGTAGTTCACCGACGTTACGGACAGCGAAGTGTGCTTGCCGGGCTACACACTGCTGAGATGTGGCCGCAACTCTGATCCTCGCGGAGGTAGCGTTGCTTTGCACGTTAAAATCACACGTACTGTACTTAAAACGTATAGTTTCAGATCATCAGGGGGTGAGGTTGAGGCACTCGCAGTTAACCTGTGTATTGCCTCCGCGCAACTTAAAGTTGTGCTGGTCTATAGAAGCCCCGATAACGTTGCTAAGGGGCTTGCTGATTTCATCCGCGAGCATTCGGCAAATAGGTGTTTAGTGATGCGGGACTTCAATCTTCCCGACGTTGACTGGCAGAATGTTTCCTGCGACGCTGTTACAAGGTGTTTGGCTACCGAGCTTCCCGAGCTGGCCTTGCATGCTTCCCTGCACCAATTTGTCGATCGGCCTACTAGATTCATGATGGGTCAAAACCCGTCTCTCTTGGACTTAATCTTTGCTAAATCCATTGATTTTGTCACGGATATTGTATACAACTCATCTTTCGGTGCTAGCGATCACACATGTCTCTTATTTAAGTGCGCCTTTAGTCGTCAGACTAATGATCAACTCGACCGAGTACCAAATATATGGCGCGCGGACTTTCGGACAATGAAACCCAAAGCCGCAAAGTCGCCTTGGGTCAATTTGGAAAGTGACGACATTCAAACCGCCTGGGACAGATTTAAATCATACTTGAGTGAGCTCTCTCCCCCATATACCACTATCTGATAGGAATAAAACTAGGGCAAAGTCACCCTGGTTTGATTCTGCTGTACGCAAACAACTTAACAGACGTGCAAGATGTTGGCGTACTTACCTATCTGCTCCTTCATTGTGCACCTTCAAGCGATATCGTAAGGTTCGAAATGCCTTCAGGCAGTATCTACGAGGTGCTCGTCTACACCATGAAGTAGAGCATTCTCGTATAACCTAATCAACCCCGAAACGCTTCTTTGCTTATGTCAAAAGGCGAAGCAACCTGAACTCGTGCATCCTAGCGTTGTTTGGCCCTGACGGCATTGCTGTTGTCACGGCTCACGAAAACGCTTGTTTGCTCGGAGAACAGTATGCTGGGGTTTATGTTAGAGAGTCATAGATGCCGCATTTCAGTCTCCAGGCAAAAGTTCCTGACGGCTCCAACTTGGAGGAGGTTTTTATAACCGAGGCTCAAGTGCTCCGGCTTCTGAGGCAATTAAATCTCAATAAAGCTGCCGATGGAGATGCTATTCATCTCAAACTGTTGTACTAGTTGGCTGATAATTTTGCCATCCAATTACGCAAGCTTTGTGAAGACTCTACGGGGCTGCTCTCTACCCAAGAACTAGAAGGAGGGTATTGTTTGTGTCATTTTTAAGAAAGGTGAAAAGCACCACCCTGATAACTATAGACCGGTCAGTTTAACGAGCGTGCTGGTCAAGTTATTGGCAAAGCTCGTGAGAGACGCTCTCGAAGGACATTTGAAAGCGTTTGAGTTGCTTAATCCTTCTTATCACGTTTTTCGTAAGGGCTATTCTGGCCTTGCTAACTTGTTAACGGCTCGTGAACACTGGGCCGAAGCCGTCGATTGCGGGAAGGCAGTGGACGTGCTGTTTATTGACTTTTCCAAAGCTTATGACACCGTTCCACCTTCGTGCCTTTGGTACAAGCTGCATTCCTGTGGTATTACTGGACCAGTCTTACGATGAAGTTCAGCTTTCCTAATCGGAAGGGAAATGTGTGTGCGGGTGGGTTTAATCCTGTCCTTCCGCCAATGTATTCTCAGTAGCATTCCGCAAGGTTCGGTTCTTGGCCACTTCTCTTCAGTTTATACGTTGATGAATTGGGTGTGCCATCCCTAATGTTAGTGGATGTCTTGAAACTCTGGTTCACGCTAGATGAGCTGATTGGTAACTGACCCTACAGAACGCTCTGGATAGACTTTGGGACTGGTCAATTCTGTGGAAGTTGCCCGTTAATTTAGGGAAATGTTCCGTTTTACGCGTTGGTCCGAACGACCCGCCGACGAGTTAGTTGCTTGGCGGCAATGAGGTACCGCGTGTTCAACTCCAATCTGACTACGGTGTTTTGATGTCATCTGACCTCACCATCAGTGAACACTGGACGACAGCTGCTCGCAAAGGTTTCAACATATTGTGGATGATCCGCAGGTCATTCGGGATCATGACCACCGAAATATTCGTTAGATTATTTTCGACTTTTGTAAGGCCGCACTTGGAATACTGCGTCCAGGCTTGTCCTCCATGCCTGGTTCGTGATAAGATGGCAGTTGAACGAGTCCTGCGGTTCGGGACGAAAATAGTGCAATAATTAAAGCAGCTGACGTACCCGGAGAGGCTATGTAAGTTGGATATGTTATCCGTGTATTACAGGCGGCTTCGGGGCGAGTTCGTCATCACATATCGTATATTGATGGATCACATTGGTTCTGATTTGACTTGACTGTTTCGCCTAACTCGAGTGCCAGCCCTTCGGGGCCACCCATTAAAGTTGCACAACCCCTGTATGACCGGGTTTAGGCGGCTTTTCGTTTATCGCGTAGGGTTATAGCTTATTGGAACACATTGCCTGCAGAGGTCGTGAAGGCACCGACGGTGAAAGAGTTCAAGCACCGAGTTGACGCTCTCGGTCTGCAATTTAAAGACTTCCCCTTCATATCTTAAACTTTTCTTCGTCTACTACGGCTTACGCTTCTTTAACTCATTTTCACTTACATCTTAATATTTCCTACGATATTCGATAAGCTTATCCTCTCCTCTGTTTCCTTTTCTTTACTGACACTACTGTTTTCTTTTATTCTTCACGTGGCCGACACAGTGGGGACTGCTAGTGCAGGGCACGTAGGCAATGTTTGGTTGACCATGTAAATCGTGTGCGTTGATTTGGCTCTCCTTTGGCACATCAAGGCACCGGTTTTCCTGTTTGATCAACGCAGTTTTCGCAGGTGGAACTTTCGTGGGCTTTTCCTACAGTTCCGGTCCCACTTGAACTTGAACTTGAAAATTCAGACATCACGAACCTTTAATTTTACAGCCCATTGGCAGCAGTGTTTAATGTACTGTCTCACTCCAGTGGCCACGTCGCTTCGCTGTTCACAGCGTGCCGATACACTTCGTCTGAAAACGGCCGCAAGCGTTGTCAATTGGTGTACGCCTGAACACCTTAATGTTGACGAAGCGCGGAAACACTTGTGCTTCAAGCTGACGTTACTCACTGAACAGGTCATTTCCTTCTCCAAAGGCCCTCCGTGGATCGATCACGAATTGGGATCAATGATTAAAAGAAGGCGCAAACCATGGAATGGTTTGGAATTACGCGATTTGAGCTTAACTACTGCTACTACAAAACGGTCAGAAATGCTTGCAACATGAAAAAAGCGAGAAACGGCAAAAATATGAGCTGTGCTTAGCTGCAGTTTCTAGTACAAACTCCAAGGCGCTCTTCTCATACCTTAAACGAAGCAATAAGGCTGGTGTTGGTGTCCCTGCCTCGTCTCCCTATGAGCATTTGGACCTAGGTTACGGAGACGTTAAGAAAGCT